ATAACAAATAATTGAAACAATTCTATTTTACAATTATTTTTGTATTCAAATTATTTTTTTATTTCCACTGTATCGTTTGTGAGACTCTGCTCATCCCTTATTTAAAAGAAGGATGAGCTCCGTCAAAAAGGGGGGAGATGTTATGTCCAACCCTAGTTAGATAAAAGCGCTGACTCGATTATTATATTTATTATAAAAGCCTAGAGTTTGAGGTAATCGAGGCAGTGCAGTTCCAACCCATATTAAGTGCATATCGCACACGCCGTTCGCGGCTTTTGTACATTTCTTGTATTAATTTAATATTGGGGAAATAAACCAAAAGAACTTCTGGGATTGGGTGTAAAAGTTTTTTTTTTAAAAACACCTTCAGAGCGGCCATCCTAACAGTACTAGAACAGCTATTTCAAACAAAAAATGTGCGCTACTCTGTGTTCGCGCGGTTGATTTTTTTTATCATAGAATAAGTATAGGTAGAATGATCCGTAGGTAATAGTAGATTGTATTGATAAATAGGTAAATTATATCGAGCACAATATTTAAATTTTGTCATTTATTTTGTATATTATTTTTGCTTATTTAATATAAAATTACATAATATTATCAAAATTACATTGCAATGATATTTTTATCTGAATATTTTAAAAGGTATCTATGTCAAATATAAAAAAAAACATACTAAATGTACGTTTAACAAAACTTATTATAATAACATTTAAATTACAAATATCAATCCTATACATTTAAACGAGCAACCGACACCTTCATTCATTTGTACGTCAAACGCTGTCGAGGGAGACCCGCCTTAGTAGTCATGGGTTGTGAGCCACTAGAAGCACTTAAGTCAGGGGGATAACTGAGAGGGGGGTGTAGGATTGTTTAGAGGGGGGAGGGGAGTCAAGAATATCAGCAGTAGTATTTTGATTGACCGAATCCCGCTGATGTAACTGACGGCCACTGACAATTCGTATGCTGCCACGTCCAGCGCCAGCTTCAGACGTGCCCCGGCGAACCCCGGGCCCCGGGTAGCGGTTTTAATCGCTTATTTCAGTGATCCACTCTCCATATCGGGTTAGGCTCCTACAACGGGGAGCGCCCAATCCACATCGTTGCTATACAAAGCTTAATTTTTTAGTACCTAAGCTTAACTGCCACCAAACACGGTACAACATTCTTCAGCGGAGTGTACAGACTGATTGTAGCAGTGACAATCAATAATGCTTTAAAGAATAAAGAAGATTATCTTTTACTACCGGGCGATGGGGTCGGATGGGGTCATTATTATTATTATTATAGTACTTTTTGTTTAGTATTGCCTTGTTCCCAAGGTATTATACCTTTTTGCGGGCTGTTAGCCAAACAAACCCGGTTAAGTGTTTTAATTTTTAGACAAGAACTTACGGACTATTTTGAAAGTATTCAATATTGCGGCTATTATATCTATATAGTTTTCTCATCTGGTTGGATTCTATAAATATATAATTATAAATGAAAATGAAAAGATAAATATATCAATAAAATAAAATAAATACAAAAAGTACATAAATAAATAAAAGCCCAACCAGGTGGAAGCTTTCGGCAGGGGAGACCAAACGGCCGAGGGTTAGGGGGAAAGGGAAAGAAAACGGCGGACGATGCGGGCGGTATCGAGGAGCACCGCCTTCTGCATTTAAGCCCGGAGCGGTTTGATTTTCGAGCACGGCTTCCGGCAAGTACTTACAATAAGGCAATTTCCGATCCACGCGACCGTATTTCAGAGCGAGCTCCTGGTGTAGAATCCTGGCTACTAGGTTGTGCCGTTGTGCCTGTGCGAGTACTCAGAGTTAGAAAGCGCCGAACAACCGGAGATGACATGCGTAAGTGACTCACCAGGATGGCGACAAGCTCGACAGACGTCGACGGTGCCATCCTTTAGGATGTATCTCCGATAGTTGTTGGTCTCAACAACCTGATCCTGTACTGCACAAACAAAACCCTCGGTTTCCCCGAAGAGGTCACCGAAACGTAGCCAGTGGAGGGAGGCGGCTGAATCTACGAAGGGCTCATGTAGAGCCCTGTAGTACCTCCCATGGAGCTCCTTCTCCTTAAATACGGTCTCCCGGTCGGAAGTGCTATGTACTACTGGGTCCTGCCATTGCTCGTTTACTAAGGATAGAAGGATAAGCCCTTTATCGTTATTATTACGTTATTATCCGTTCGGGCCCACTGAAAACCAGCGTTGTTGCTCCGGCGACAGCATAAGCTGAGTGAGGTCCGTTTGTATGACGCGCCACAACATACTCGTACAATATGAGAAACGATTCTTTTTGTCTTTCTATTTTTTTTTTAAATTATAATCTATAAGTATTAATACTTTTAAATTGTTTTATCCGTCAAATTGTTGTTTTGTTTCCTATTTTTGTTTTTGTTTGTTATAATGTTTATAATTGATGTGTCAAAATTTAAGTGCCTACTGATGTTTGTGGCGTGCTGCAATAAATCTTTCTTTCTTTCTTTCTTATCACTAGAAACGACGTAATTATAGAATGGATCATCCGATCTCGCCAGGAAGTAATGACGGAGGCTGCACACTTCGCGATTATGCATGGTAAGCGTTTCTGCGTGATATTCAGCTGGTACACTGATATTTGTCCCAGCAAACGCCATTCTAACGGTGCACACAACCCTCGGTCTTATTACCCGACCTGAAGCTTGTAAGTCTGCCGATAAGGGCCCTTGCCTTTGCGATACGGTCCTCATTTCTTTTTCTCCAGGCTGGGATGGCGCTATATTACTATTATTATTATTATTTTTTTATTGATATCTGAATGGTGACATAAGTAGACGCTTCATAATTCCATCAACAATTTGCCACAACAACTAGTCAATTTAGTTTTAATTTAGGTAAGATTTTTTTTCCTGACTTCGATAGGCTATAAACTTGATTACATAAAACAAAGTATATAATTTTATTGATATCTGTAATAGTGACTTAAGCACACGCTTAATAATTCCATCACTTATTATTTCGGCACTGTCCTTTTGAGTACATTGTACGTCGATTTTATCTTAATATTAAAACCATAAATTATAACTTCACAACTACAAGACCTGGGACAATAAATTTAAGTTTTTTTTTAGATATTAAATTCCTTCTATACCTAATACTCCGTAATTCAACTATTTACGGTACATTATGTATAACGCAAAAACGTTTCAGAACATTAGGGTTTATAATTCGTGGGACAAAAAAAATCTCCAAGCCTCTCGCATCATTGCGATTGTTTACTCCAAATCGTGGCATCTTGAAACTTACAAGGCGCTCGTCCCGGGCGAGGAACCGGTTTGGCGGGTTGCGCGGGGGGCATTCGCTTTGCGCCTACGGCGGTGCCAGCTAGTCTGGAAGAATCTTTGTGCGCTACTTTGTGATTGCACCTTGTGGTGCTGGGCAACGCATGTGGTTCTGCTATCCGATTACATCGGTGACGTCAGGTTACATTACACACCTTCCTACACCACTCACACATAACATTTACTTGCCCCTGACGGCACCTTGTGGTCGACCCTACCTCCGGAACTCGGTAAGTTTGTGTTTGCTTATCCAGCACTTATAAATTAATTATCCATAGGCCATTGGGCCCTAACCCTCGGTTGCTCGTCGAGTTGGGTTACTATGGGCCCTAGCCCAGTCGACTTTTGTCGGGGCAACTGAGGGCCGTAAAAGCGATTATTTTATAATTTGTTTCGTTCTGTAATAGAGTATGCATCCACTGTACGGTTGCCCTTTTATAGTGTACATTATGACAGCATCGAAAGGATGCAGAGTTTTTTCCTGCGCAGTGTTTTTGGCAGATATGGTCACTTGCGTCGTCTATCATCATAAGATTCTCGACTTAAATTTTTTAATATCCAATGATTATCTTTGAGGAGACAATTTGCCAACCAAGTTTTTTTGCACAAGATTGTGCATTCTCATATAGATTGCCCAGAGTTACTAAGACTTTCACAGTGTTTGTGGCAGATATGGCTATCATCATAAGACTTACGACTAAAGTTTTTTAATGTCCAATAATTATCTTTGAGGAGACAATTTACCAACCAAGTATTTTTGCACAAGATTGTGCATTCTAATATAGATTGCCCAGAGTTACTAGGACTAATTAACTTCAATTCCGATATACGACAACAAGTTTCAAGAATTTTTAAATTAGATGTACACAAGAATAACACTTCCTTTTTGGATCTTGTTGTCAAAATGTGGATTACGATGAAATTAAGTGTAATATCATACATCTAGATATATTCGATAGTTACCGTGTTCGATTTAACACAAATTTACGCGTTTCTTTAAATATTTAATGTACTTTGTTATCCTGTTTATTTTTGCTAAAACTAAGTTTTTACTGCAGTTATATTATTATGCTGAGTACACTTTTTTGGGTTGTAGTTTAGATCAGCACCACTATACTTTTAATTTTAAAACTACATATAACTACTGTCTGTTTGTGTTACTTATTCAATCAAATAAAAATAAAAGAAAATAAAAGCTAAATTCAGTGTTTGTAATAAACTGTCAAAGTAACCAACACGTGTGCTTACTTTATACGCCACTTATACTGACGAACTATCGTCTTAAACTAACTTTAAACTACATAACTATAAACTAACTGAACTATCAAAGAAGCTTTAGGAATCGCAAATAACACATTAATTTGTTATGGTCCTTCGAGCACGATATGAACCAGCGACCTACGAATATAGAATAATAGTAGTAAAATTCAAACATGCTTTTAAACAAGCCTTAATTAAATTCATCATCAGCATCATCATCCTGCCGTATTTCCGCGCCCGCACTCCATGTGTGTGTATACGTGTGTGTGCGTGTACTCACGCGTTTCAGCGCTAGCTCCAAGTGTGCAGTCTGCTCGGGCTGGTAGAACTTATGCGCGCGGCGCAGCACGGCGTACACGAGCTCCGCGCGCCCTTGTGCGTGTGCGTGTGTATGTGTGTGCGCGTGTACTCACGCGTTGCAGCGCTAGCTCCAAGTCTTCGGGCAGCGCGGGCTGGTCGAGCTGGTGCGCACGGCGCAGCACTGCGCATACTAGCGCCGCACGCCCCGCCTCCTCGCCGCCCACCTCGTGCACCACTCTGCGCATGCATATACACACCTGACTTTTATGCTAGACACACGATCAATTATTTGGCTTTACGCATTCATTTACACTTATATACAAAATCTGATTTCCGTCAAGTTTAAACGTTTATTAACCTCTCAGGCCCCGACATTGTATTGGACCAACTTAGACCTATGGTCAAGCCCATGAGTATAGTAGGTCAGGCCATGGACAATATTTTATTTAATCTCTCAGGCCCCGACAGTGTATTGACCAACTTAGACCTATGGTCAAGTCAAATAGTAGGTCAGGCCAAAGACAATTTTTTTAAACGAAGATTGTATGGTTCTTACGGCCTTACACTTTCCAGAAGTGAGAAGTAGAGTTGTAGTTAGATGATGAGCACGTCAAAAGGAAAAGATGACCAAAGTTTAAAGGTTTGATAAAAGTAAAATAGTATATCTATTTTACTTTTATTTTAAGTTATTGTGGCAAATCTTTCCTTGAGTGGTTAATGTTTATAAGGTCGGCTGTTGACGTACTGCCGATTGTAAGATTGCAATTAAATATATGCGATACGCAAATTGTGTGGTATAACCATACATATTGGCCACCCGAAAATCAAAGAAATGGTCACCCGAAAATCAAAGAAATGAAAGTTAACTCTCAAGGAAAAGATAAGTCAGCACAAAGCAAAGAATTGAAAGTTTCAATCGTTGAAAGTGAATGCGACGTTGTCCGCCGCACTGTCATCGCAGTAGAGGGCACGGCGCGCGGCTGCGGCGCGGGCGCCTGCTTCGGCACTGCACGCGTCGCTCGCCGCATGAGAGACGTCATCCCTTGATGTTGTAGTTTGATGTCCGTTGCTTGTTTTTCCCCCTGGCTTGCAGCATTTAAGTTACGCTTCTAGATGATCCACACCAGACATCCCAGTACAGCAACTCCAAACAAGGTGTAGCAAATAATATATTGGTACATGTCATGGCTTCAAATAGATGACAGTAGTACTTGGTGTTTATGAAGATAGAGTAGTTTCTTCTCGATCTCCTGCGTGTCCGTTTGGATCGTTTCGCGTCGACCGCTCAGTAAAGAGTCGTTGTAGGTCAAGTCGACGATATTGTTCACGGACGAGTTTAGTGTAGGGACCTCGTACTGGCGCTGCATCTGCATGTTAGTGTTGTACTCGTTGTGCAAATAAATAGTTGTATATTTGGATTGTAAAATACAACCTTGCGCCATAGTTACAATGCTAGACGTCGTCATAGCTTCGATCAACAATACCAACTAGATAACGGGTCACGTACAAAATCATAGCTAAATACTGTCCGCATGAATATAAACTATGAAAAGACATAAATTGAATAACATTTAATGTGAAATCAACCTTAAGTTATAAAAAATAAAGTTCTTTTACCCGTTATTGCCTTGCGAGCTACACTCTCACGTGCAAGAGCTCACGTCTCATGTGCGCTCTTATTTACGGAGATGGATTTCTTGCGCCGATCCGACATCTAGTTGGTATTGTTGATCGAAGCGTCATAGTGTATGACGTAACGTCGGTATCACCTATTGTGCGCAAAGTGCAAGCTCCGCAGCAAATGGCCAGCCAGCTGTTCGGCGAGTGTAACGCGATCCACACGTCATCACAGGTCGGCCTTCTGACGTCACAAGGAGGTTTTACACCGTGACTTAGTAATAACGCCTTGTGTCTAGAGCGCTAAGGTTGATTTTGATTAAGCAGGATTTTGTAATAGACGTGAGGACGATACGAGGCTTTATTTTGCACTGACTTTACATATAACATTTCTAAGCGGACTGTATGATTTTACTACTATCGAGAGCTAGTTATAGGTAACATTCATTAGGTAAGTACTCGCTTTAACACCTTGCAAGGTGCGTCTTTGTTGTGCAAGTTGAATACTGGCCAATTCTTGTAGAATGTACAAGATGTAGCGGCACTCCTTTAATTGAATGCACATTTTGATGCCATTTTCAGTTATAGAGATGTAATTATCTTTCTGGGAATTCACAACGACGTATTGTGCTTGCACTAGCACTGTAGTAGTTTCCGTTCCAGTTTTCATAGACAGTGGGATAGCTCTGTAGAGTGAACACAAGTCCGCCGACCTGTGTAGATAAGCTTCAATCCGTTGTATATTGCTCCAATAGTTATAGTCAACCAAATCTAAGAAATACCTTTTGACGTTTCACATTAATCATTTCGCAATAACTTTGCACAAACGTACTCACGCGATTAAAAATAACCTTTTACGTAAATCCGAAGAATTATGAAGTTATCTATATTTCATTACAACATGTATAGTTTTTTTATCACTAATTTAAATCCGAATCTTTCAAAAAGCAAAATGTTAAAAAAATAACCAGTATCAACTTTGCGAATAATCGGAAAAAATATTCAAATAATCGATTCTTAATTTTTTTATGTATTATTTGTTTAGTAAAAATTTTATTTTTGAAATTCCTTAAATTACATTAATCATGAATAAAACAATTTTTTTTTACTTTGTTATCGTAAATTTATTTAGGCGAAAAAACTCATATGCAAGGTCGCGCTGAAAAAACCACAACGTAATTTCAATCTCCCGCCATTTCAGGAGCTTACTGTGCGCGTAATTTTGTGTGTTTTGTGTATATAGAAGAAACTTTTTGGACTGTTTCTTCTATATTCGTTGAAGCATGTGCCCATGTCACAAAGCATGATTGGGAAAAAGTGGTAGAATAAACAAAAAATTGATTATGGATGACTTTGAAAGAGATATTAATTTTGACTGCATTATTGAAAATCAAATGTTAATTCATCTAAACAACGACAACTCAACTAGTTGTACTGAAAGTGATTGAATAAATTAATTTTTAATCTAGTTTCAGTCTTAAATTTTTATAACTATGCCTCTAGAAATAAGCAGTAACAATAAATATGAAGAATGATAAATCTTTTGTTTCCCTTTTTATTTTCTTCTAGTATTATTCAAACCAAACTGTAAATGATTACCAACTCTAAATAATCGATATCAATTTTTTAAGAATCGAATTTTGTACGTTCCCATTTTTTTGTTGGCATGCTTGGTGCAATAAGTCTGACAGCTGTCAAAATGTATTTCTTACATTTGGTTGACTATAGTTAAGTTATAGTACAGAAGTAAGGTCTATTGGTCGTGTATAATTTTGTATTTCGACAAATGTGTCGTAATACACTCAGCGTCACAAAAATCGCACCTCTCTGAGTTTGCGCGAAAAATGGCTGTAATGGCTAGAAACGAATTATATTTATATAAATATTGGTATGTTTGAAATGGGTATTTTAATAGCTTTACATTATTTATAAAAAAATCATGAAATCATTAAAACCTTTATCATTATAGAACGTCAAAAATAAACACTGTCAAATGCTGGAGTTACACCACCTAAAAAGGGTATAAAAGGGTCGATCTGGATGAAATATGGGTCAGTCGTAATTTAGACTTTGCAGTGAACACACGTGAACAAGTAACCCAAGTAAGAACAAGTAAAGATGGACACCAGCTCTGAAGGAGCCGCTCAAGTGACCGTTTCATCGTTACGACATCTTTACGAAACCGTTTTACAAATGCTGTTGAGTTGCAACAACAGCTTCGATCAACTCGGAAAACATCTGTGAGCGTTTCTACGATAAGAAGAAGGTTACACGAAAAGAGTTTAACAGCCCATAGACCTGCTAAAGGTCCAAAACTTACTGCACAGCATCGCAGAGATCGCCTAGAGTTTGCTCGCAATCATTGCGAGTGGACTCTAGAACAGTGGCGAACCGTACTCTTCTCTGATGAGACGAGGGTCTGTCTCTTCTGCAATGACAGACGTAGAAGGGTCTACAGAACACAGGAGGAGAGGTTAACACAACCCTGCTACGAAGAATCCGTCGAATACGGGGGTGGCTCATGTATGGGGGCGGCATTTCCGTCGACGGGAAAACGAAACTTGTGTGCGTTTCCCGGAATCGGGGTGGCCGTGGGCAAGGGTCATTAAATGCTGGTCAGTACATTACCGAAATCCTGGAGGAACATGTGGTTCCGTATGCTGGTTATGTCGGTGATGGATTCATGATAATGCATGATAATGCTCGTTCGTCCACACCGCGGCTATTGTACGGGATTATTTACAGGAGGTCGATATCCCTGTTATGCATTGGCCAGCACGAAGTCCAGACCTTAACCCAATAGAACATCTCTGGGATGACCTAAAACGGCTCGTGCGAGCTCGAGATCTAGCTCCAACCACTCTTCAAGAGCTCCAATATGCGGTACTTGAAGAGCGGGAACAAATGCCCCAAGAGGCTGTTGCGACCCTTGTAAGGTCCATGAAAGATCGCATGGAAGCCGTTATCAAGGCAAGTGGGGGGTAACACTAGGTTTTAAGAACTTTTTTTGTATTTATTAAGTTTTTTTTTAAATTATTAATTTGCAAATTTGTACATACCCTGTCTTTTTCTTTATTTTCTCTTTCGTCTCGTTATAAAAGTAAAATTCAATTAAAATTCCTGAAAGCTAATGAAATTACCTTTCGAATGATACCCTCAAATCACAACATTGCCATTGGCCTGTTGTGTTAAAATAGTATTTAAATTATTTTTTTCGGATGTGCGATTTTTTTGACGCCGAGTGTAGATGGGCCGGTTGTGTTCGATGCTTGTGATCTGAGCGCTCAATGACACGCCTCCATAATATGTTCGAATCATCGAGGTAAACATCGCTATGAACATTGTAAACAATGTGGAAGTTTTCATGGTCGTGTTGTGTCTTTTTTCTCGTTTAGTTTTAAGTTCTTACTCGTTTTCCGGCTTTTGACACACCAGTGGGAGCGGTGACAGTTTAGTTGTGGGGAGCTTGATAACACCAGCTTGCGTTTTTACAGTAGTTACGCGCACTACGCTGTCGGCACCCGGGTGGACTTCCTGTATGCGACCCAATGCCCATTTTTCTGGCGGCAAGTTGGTTTCCCGAACAAGGACAATATCTCCCCTTTCAATGTTTTTGCTGAGCTTGTTCCACTTGCAGCGGCTTTGAAGTTGAGTTAGGTATTCGTTAGACAAGCTTTTCCGAAATTGTTGTAGCATGTTTTCAGTGCATGTATAGTGTATAGTAGTAGTGCATATACGCTTGTGGTGCCGCGGCGTGCGCACATACGTTGAAATGCGGCTATAAAAGTGTCAATGCTTAGGTCCGATACAAGTTCGATATGTACATCTTTTGTTGCCATACATACGAAGATGGCTATATACTCGTAGCCCTCGAAGTTTTGACCCCTCTCCCTTTGTTAAATTTGATATCCACATGACCAGTGAAGTTAAATTGAATATCGATAGAAATTAGATAACATACCTTTGGAACGTGTCTACAAAACCAAAGACCTTGGTGTTATTTTTGATTCCAAAATGCTCATGTCCGATCATATTACGACAATAGTTTTAAAAGCGTATAAATACTATGGTTAATCTTTAATATATTAATAATTATTAGATAACTTTCACCTACTTTGCTTTTTTATTATAAAATATTAAATTGCCAAAAACAAAAATTAATATTTGATATTTATTAATCAGTTAATAATTTAAGGACATATTTCCATTGATTATATAATAATACATATTGTATAGTTATATAATATAATCAATACTGTGCTAATGAATATTTTGCAATAAGAAAAAAAATTTAATAATATTAAAACAATATAGAAGGCACGAGTGTTACCTGGCGATATAGAGAATGTGGTGGTGTGGCACGTCGTCGTCTGCGAGCGCGGCGCGCAGCGCGTGGTGGGCGGCCCGCAGCGCGCCGCTCGCGGGTGCGGCATCCGCAGAGTCTGCGGCCGCCGCCAGCGCGTGCTCCACGCGCGCCCAGTCAGCGAAGGGCAGCGGCTGCGCGGCCGCGTGCCGGCGCAGAGCCGCGCGCGCCTCGCCGCGCAGGCGCCGCAGCTCGGCGGCGGGCGCCCCCGCCCCCTCCCCGCCGCCCAGCAGCACCAGCGCGCGCAGCCAGCGCAGGCGCCAGCACAACAGCGCCACGCGCCGCAGCCCGCGCGCCCACTCGCAGCTGGCCTCCCACAGCGCGTTCACCCAGCTCAGGTACCCTGCACGCACCGCACGTTAGGCACCACCCTTCACACCACATCCCATAACTAATTTTACCTATTTCATCGCGAATCATCATCATTACAGCCTTTCACAAGTCCACTGATGCACATAGGCCTCCCCCAAGGTATGCCACAAAGCACGGTCCTGAGTCACCTACATCCATCGATTCCTGCATGTCTTACCAGATCGTCACTTCATCTAGTGGGGGTCGCGTCACACTTCGCCTACCGGTACGAGGCTTCCACTCGAGAACCTTTTTTTCCCTATCGGTTATCGGTTCTTCGAGCTATATGACCGGCCCATTGCCACTTCTGCTTACTAATCCGATGGGCTACGTCGGTTACTCTGGTTCGACTGTGGATATCCTCATTTCTGAGTTTATCACGCAGAGAAACTCCGAGCATAGCCCTCTCCATAGCTCGCGGAGAGACCTTGAGCGTTCTCATACGGCCAGCAGTGAAGTCATCGCGATTAATACTTTTTAATTCCCGACGACTTTAGTGCTTTACGTACTGAAAAGAACTCAAACATTCGGGTCACGGGAGGAACGAATTGCTTAACGTCTCAATTTTATAGTTAGTTCAGTTACCTTCAGCTTTTGAATATTAATTTTTGGCCCTAATACCGTTTACAATAAAATCCGTAAATGTATGTGTAACTATGCAAGTATGTAATGCAATGCAGTGCAAGATTAAATGCTGCTGACGAGTACCACTCAAGATTGTAGGATGCAAAATGAAACACTGTTTATCGTAACGCCGTGCTAATGGTACTGAATTTATTACAAGAACAATATGTGTCCAATGCATTAAAATTAAACCAACTACAACTACGCTAACATACAAAAATGTAAAATTAATTTTATTTTAAGTGTAGTAGTCACGTAAATATAACAAATCATTAATCACACATTCGCAGATCACATTTTCGGTCACACACGAGATATAAATAGGGAGAACTGCTACTAACTTTGATTATTCACGAAAGCGATACAACAGGCAGCTGCCGCTATCCGTTGGTAAGTAGTGCGGCATGGCGATGCGGCAAACCGTGCTCGTCGATGAAATAGTGCGACGGGTCGAGGCGGTACTACTGACCGTGCTCGTCGGTGAAATAGTGCGGCGGGTCGAGGCGGTACTACTGACCGTGCTCGTCGGTGAAATAGTGCGGCGGGTCGAGGCGGTACTACTGACCGTGCTCGTCGGTGAAATAGTGCGGCGGGTCGAGGCGGTACTACTGACCGTGCTCGTCGGTGAAATAGTGCGGCGGGTCGAGGCGGTACTACTGACCGTGCTCGTCGGTGAAATAGTGCGACGGGTCGAGGCGGTACTACTGACCGTGCTCGTCGTTGAAATAGTGCGGCGGGTCGAGGCTGTACTACTGACCGTGCTCGTCGTGAAATAGTGCGGCGGGTCGAGGCTGTACTACTGACCGTGCTCGTCGGTGAAATAGTGCGGCGGGTCGAGGCTGTACTACTGACCGTGCCCGTCGGTGAAATAGTGCGGCGGGTCGAGGCGGTGACTACTGACCGTGCCCGTCGGTGAAATAGTGCGGCGGGTCGAGGCGGTACTACTGACCGTGCTCGTCGGTGAAATAGTGCGGCGGGTCGAGGCTGTACTACTGACCGTGCTCGTCGGTGAAATAGTGCGGCGGGTCGAGGCGGTACTACTGACCGTGCTCGTCGGTGAAATAGTGCGGCGGGTCGAGGCGGTACTACTGACCGTGCTCGTCGGTGAAATAGTGCGGCGGGTCGAGGCTGTACTACTGACCGTGCTCGTCGGTGAAATAGTGCGGCGGGTCGAGGCGGTACTACTGACCGTGCTCGTCGGTGAAATAGTGCGGCGGGTCGAGGCGGTACTACTGACCGTGCTCGTCGGTGAAATAGTGCGGCGGGTCGAGGCTGTACTACTGACCGTGCTCGTCGGTGAAATAGTGCGGCGGGTCGAGGCTGTACTACTGACCGTGCTCGTCGGTGAAATAGTGCGGCGGGTCGAGGCGGTACTACTGACCGTGCTGTCGGTGAAATAGTGCGGCGGGTCGAGGCTGTACTACTGACCGTGCTCGTCGGTGAAATAGTGCGGCGGGTCGAGGCGGTACTACTGACCGTGCTCGTCGGTGAAATAGTGCGGCGGGTCGAGGCGGTACTACTGACCGTGCTCGTCGGTGAAATAGTGCGGCGGGTCGAGGCGGTACTACTGACCGTGCTCGTCGGTGAAATAGTGCGACGGGTCGAGGCGGTACTACTGACCGTGCTCGTCGGTGAAATAGTGCGGCGGGTCGAGGCTGTACTACTGACCGTGCTCGTCGGTGAAATAGTGCGGCGGGTCGAGGCGGTACTACTGACCGTGCTCGTCGGTGAAATAGTGCGGCGGGTCGAGGCGGTACTACTGACCGTGCTCGTCGGTGAAATAGTGCGGCGGGTCGAGGCGGTACTACTGACCGTGCTCGTCGATGAAATAGTGCGGCGGGTCGAGGCGGTACTACTGACCGTGCTCGTCGGTGAAATAGTGCGGCGGGTCGAGGCGGTACTACTGACCGTGCTCGTCGGTGAAATAGTGCGGCGGGTCGAGGCGGTACTACTGACCGTGCTCGTCGGTGAAATAGTGCGGCGGGTCGAGGCGGTACTACTGACCGTGCTCGTCGGTGAAATAGTGCGGCGGGTCGAGGCGGTACTACTGACCGTGCTCGTCGGTGAAATAGTGCGGCGGGTCGAGGCGGTACTACTGACCGTGCTCGTCGGTGAAATAGTGCGGCGGGTCGAGGCGGTACTACTGACCGTGCTCGTCGGTGAAATAGTGCGGCGGGTCGAGGCGGTACTACTGACCGTGCTCGTCGGTGAAATAGTGCGGCGGGTCGAGGCGGTACTACTGACCGTGCCCGTCGGTGAAATAGTGCGACGGGTCGAGGCGGTACTACTGACCGTGCTCGTCGATGAAATAGTGCGGCGGGTCGAGGCGGTACTACTGACCGTGCTCGTCGGTGAAATAGTGCGGCGGGTCGAGGCGGTACTACTGACCGTGCTCGTCGGTGAAATACTGCGGCGGGTCGAGGCTGTACTACTGACCGTGCTCGTCGGTGAAATAGTGCGGCGGGTCGAGGCGGTACTACTGACCGTGCTCGTCGGTGAAATAGTGCGGCGGGTCGAGGCGGTACTACTGACCGTGCTCGTCGGTGAAATAGTGCGGCGGGTCGAGGCGGTACTACTGACCGTGCTCGTCGGTGAAATACTGCGGCGGGTCGAGGCGGTACTACTGACCGTGCTCGTCGGTGAAGTAGTGCGGCGGGTCGAGGCGGTACTACTGACCGTGCTCGTCGGTGAAATAGTGCGACGGGTCGAGGCGGTACTACTGACCGTGCTCGTCGATGAAATAGTGCGGCGGGTCGAGGCGGTACTACTGACCGTGCTCGTCGGTGAAATAGTGCGGCGGGTCGAGGCGGTACTACTGACCGTGCTCGTCGGTGAAATACTGCGGCGGGTCGAGGCTGTACTACTGACCGTGCTCGTCGGTGAAGTAGTGCGGCGGGTCGAGGCGGTACTACTGACCGTGCTCGTCGGTGAAATAGTGCGGCGGGTCGAGGCGGTACTACTGACCGTGCTCGTCGGTGAAGTACTGCGGCGGGTCGAGGCGGTACTACTGACCGTGCTCGTCGGTGAAATAGTGCGGCGGGTCGAGGCGGTACTACTGACCGTGCTCGTCGGTGAAGTACTGCGGCGGGTCGAGGCGGTACTACTGACCGTGCTCGTCGGTGAATAGTGCGGCGGGTCGAGGCGGTACTACTGACCGTGCTCGTCGGTGAAGTAGTGCGGCGGGTCGAGGCGGTACTACTGACCGTGCTCGTCGGTGAAGTACTGCGGCGGGTCGAGGCGGTACTACTGACCGTGCTCGTCGGTGAAGTAGTGCGGCGGATCGAGGCGGTACTACTGACCGTGCTCGTCGGTGAAGTAGTGCGGCGGATCGAGGCGGTACTACTGACCATCCTCGTCGGTGAAGTAGTGCGGCGGGTCGAGACAGAGGGCGAGCAGGCGCTGCGCGAGCGCGGCGGGCGCGTGCGCGGCGAGTACGCACGGCAACAGGCGTGCTTCGGCCAGCAGCGGCAGCAGCTCCTCGCCGCACTCGCCACACTCGCCGCCCTCGAGCAGCTCGTCACGCGCCGACCAGCCGGCGCCGCCCAGCAGCGGCACCTGAACCCATACCTCATAAAGCAAAAAGTACACGTTGGCCGAGCTTCAGCCACCCCGAGCGTAGGCAAATTGACATAAGACGAGTGCAACAGTCTACACGTTGGTCAAGTTTGAAAGAGTTACAATACTGACATGACCGACTAACATATAGATACGACTTGCCAAGTCGAGTGATTTGTGCAGAAAAACCGATACTATTTCGAAGTGAAACGAGTTGTGGCGAGCGATCCCTAGTGGTGCCAAGGCACGCCAAACGAACCGTATACACGTTGGCGCTTGGCTGCTCTCGGCCAGCTACGCGAGCGACGACAAATAATGGCGAAGCTAGACAAATGGGCTGTCTATACGTTGATTATATATATAATATAATTTTACGTTATTTTTATATATATATTTGCTTACGTTATATTTGCCTTTGCTCGGTCAACGTGTATAGCCAGCCGGCTTTAGATGTCACTTTGAAAGAAAATAACGACAAAATAAAACTTTATTTTTAAATCTTTGATATGCAAAATATCTCAAGACAATCTCAGTCAAAACTGTTGGTCTTTATTAACAACTATTTTATAAAAAGTTTCTTTCTTACTCATGTCATAAATTATGACGAGGAATTAGCTACGTATGACACACATATAAAAAAATTTGCCTACCACAAGTCCACTGATAAACAAAGGCGTCCCCAAGAAATGCTACAAAAACACGGTCCCGAGCGACCTGCATCCATTGATCCGGCATTCCTGCTTCTCTGACCAGGTCGTCATGCGCGAGCGTTTGTCGAGTACGGACCTGCGTCAATTGAATTCGCGCCGTGCGAGCTGCGGGTCGGCGTCGCACTGCCCGGGCTGCCCCTCCCCCGCACCCGCCCCCGCCAGTGTGTTGTGTGGTACCTTAGCGAGCATGAGCATGCGCACGGAGAGGCGCCACAGCTGGTGCGCATCGGCCACCGGCTGCAGCAGCGTCGCCACGTCGTGCGCGAGCGGCGCGCGCTGCGGGTCGGCCTGCGCGGGCTCGTCCGCGTCCCCCTCCCCCTCGCCTCCGCCCGCCGGCCGCCAGTGCGCCGCCGCACGCGCGCGCTCCACGCGCACCCACACCGCGTGCAGCGGCAGCCCGCTCTCGATCGCCTGCCCATATACATCTTCACTTAATCCTTTCACAAATGTTTTACACAAGGTACAGCGCATTCCTATTGTTATATAGATATTGTTTCTTAGTCCTCAAGAAGCTGTTGCTTCGCATCTACATTTTGAGCCTCAATTGAAAACACAATATCATGTGGTGGTCTAAAGCCACAATCATCCACTTACCATCAGGTGGACTGTGTGCTCATTAGTCACTATTATCCTATAAATAAAATTGCGTTGCTGGAGTTTAACCATATTAGTACTTGTATAAGAAACAAAATATAGATAACTTTTGTAATTTCACTTACAACACCGACACTTTGGTACTTATCATCATCATCATCATCATTACAGCCCTTCACAAGTCCACTGCTGAACATAGGCCTCCCCCAGGTAATGCCACAAAGCACGGTCCTGAACCACATGCATCCATCGACTTCCTGCATGTCTTACCAGGTCGTCACTCCATCTAGTGGGGGTCGCCCTATACTACGCCTACCGGTACGAGGCTGCCACTCGAGAACCTTTTATCCCCATCGGTTATCGGTTCTTCGAGCTATATGGCCGGCCCATTGCCACTTCAGCTTACTAATCCGATGGGCTATGTCGGTCACTCTGGTGTTACTGCGGATATCCTCATTTCTGAGTCTATCACGCAGAGAAACTCCGAGCATAGCCCTCTCCATAGCTCGCTGAGCGACCTTGAGCGTCCTCATACGGCCAGCAGTGAAGGACCACGTCTCTGATCCGTAAGTCATCACTGGCAACACGCACTGGTTGTACACTTTAGTTTTCAGAGATTGAGATATACCTGACGAGAAGATGTGTCGTAATTTCCCGAACGCTGCCCAGCCGAATTAAATCCGTCGATTGACCTCTCGGTCGAAGTTGGACTTACCTAGTCGGACTATTTGTCACAGGTAAACGTACTCTTCAACAACTTCGAGCATAGTGCTCCCAACAACTACCGGCATAGGTGTGATATGGACATTGAACATAATCTTTGTTTTGTCCATGTTCATCTTAAGACCTATCCGTTGGGAGACACCATTGAGGTCATTGAGCATAGTGCTAAGGTCCTCCAGCGATTCTGCCATAAGGACTATTCGTCGGCAAATAGAAGGTGAGTGATGTACTCGCGATTGATGTTCATACCGTATCCTTTCCAGTCCAGTAGCTTGAAAACTTCTTCCAATACGCAGCGGTGAAGGGTTTCGGGGTTATAACGTCACCCTGTCTTACACCTCTCTGCAATTGGATAGGTTTCGAACTCTGGTTCTGTACTCGGATAGCCATCGTAGCCCTACTGTACAAACACTTCAGCACTTCGATATACCGACAGTCAACTTGGCACCGCTGAAGGGACTGTAGCACCGCCCAAATTTCGACGGAATCAAAGGCTTTCTCATAGTCCACATACGCCAGGCAAAGTGGCAGATTGTACTCTTCGGTCTTCTGTACAATCTGCCGCAGGGTATGTATGAGGTCTATGGTACTGAAGCCTTTTCGGAAACCGGCTTGTTCGGGAGGCTGGAAGTCGTAGAGTCTGCGTGCGAGACGATTCGTAATGACTCTCGAAAACAGCACGTAGACGCGGCTCAGAAGGGAAATCGGTCTGTAGTTCTTCAAGAGAGCGTTGTCGCCTTTCCTAAGGAAAAGCCCACCGCACTTCTGCTCCACGCCTCCGAAGTAGTGCCACCATGGAGGACGGAATTGAAGAGCTTCTGAAGGACTTCAAGTACCTGTGTTCCACCCGCTTTCAGAAGCTCCGCTGTAATTCCATCCTCGCCTGGGGGCCTTGCCGTTTTTAAGGTGCTGGAGAGCCATTCTAATCTCGCTCAGACTGACGTCCGGGATATCATCGGAATAGTGTCGGGTAAGATTTGCTCTTGGATCGTTACTCACACTTGCGTGTGGCTCCAACGATGATGTGTACAGCTGCCCATAGAACCTCTCAATCTCACTCAAAATCTCAGGTGTCCCGGAAACGATGCTGCCACACTCAGTCTTCAGCTTTGACAGTTGGCTCTTTCTGGCAGACAGATCTTTGGCAAAGACTTTGGAGCCCTGGTTCCGCTCGATCGCTTCTTTAATACGAGCAGTATTAAAGTTGCGTAAGTCTCGCCGCATGCAGTTGGAGATCTGTCTGTTCAGTTGCCTGTGTGTTGTCAAATCTGTTGACGATTGCAGCCTCACCTCCCGTCTAACAGCCATGAGATTAAGAGTGTGATCGGAGAGTTTTTGTGTTCTTCTGCGGCGGGTCTTGCAGAACTTAGCTCCGACCGCATTGACAGTTTCCACGAGCTTGTCATTCATATCGTCCACTGCATTGCAATCTTCTAGGCACTGAAAGCGGTTACGTAACTCGAGCTGAAAAGTCTCGGGATTCTGGATTAGAGCACGAGGGCGTCGGAGCGTTGACTTCATTAGACGAGACCTCTCCAACTTAACGTTTAGGTACAGTATGCCTCTAACCATTCGGTGATCGCTGCCGGTTTTCACCCTTGTGATCACTAAGATCACTGAACAGTTGGCGTCTGGTCGTCATAATGAAGTTAATCTCATTTTATGTCGAACCGTCTGGGCTCGACCAGGTCCACTTCCTGTGGGGCCGCTTCTGGAAGAAAGAGTTCATCATAAAGAGTCCCTCTTTCTCCATAAAGTCAGCCAGCTGCTGGCCCCTACGATTCCGTTGCCCTACTCCAAATTTCCCTAACTTCAGCTCACCGCCTTCTCTTGTGTATAGTTTTGCGTTGAAGTCTCCCATCAACACCGTGTAGTGGGTTTTGGAGGAATGCATGGCTCTAGAAATATCCTCATACATTTCCTCCACCTCCTCATCGGGATGTGCCGAGGTTGGTGCGTAGACCTGTATGACCTTCTGCAAATACCGTTTGGTGATTCTGACTATCAGGTACGCGACCCTCGTCGACACACTCCAAATTTTTACAACGTTGTTGACGAGAGACTTGTGGACGATAAATCCGACACCTCCTTGGGATAGATGGTCGCCCTCCCGGTGATAGAACAAGTTGCCGGATTCGAGGATTACCGTGTCCCCCCCTCTCTTCGGACCTCAGATAATCCAATAATATGCCAACGCAACTTGTCTACCTCTTCTTCCAGCTCCAGTATCTTCTCGTCACTCCTCAGGGTGCGTGCGTTATACGTTGCCAGGTCGAGTCGTCGTAGGTGGCAACCGAACCTCCACCGGAGATTCTTAGCACCCCCTGCTCCGCCGTTACCATGGTCGCCACCGTAGCCAGGAATAGCGGGGCCGCCGGGGACTGGGGGCCGTTTATTTGCGACGTTGCTCATGGGGGGATATTTGCCATAGTTGCCACGCTTGGCGAGCGGGTTGGCAACCGCAGTTTTTTATTATAACACAGTTGTTATCAGGAAGATGCTGCTGCCCATCTCCTGCCTGTCTCCCTCTGTCACCTCTTACGACACCCACGGGAAGATATGGGGTAGTGGATATTCTCAGCCGGCACTACACGGAAACTTTGGTACTTATAACGTTCAATAATTATAAGAAGACAGTACAAATAAAATCATAACCAAAAATTACGCAAAATGGTACAGCAGAATAAAATTGGTTTCATGCCATTTTTATACTGCTTTAAAGATATAAAACTTTGTAACACGCAATACTTTTTTATAAGTGAAAAACGAATCCTATGATATAAACCTGATATCTTCTGTTAAATGTGATGCCACGAGACGCACAGCATTAAGCTGCTATTTCATACTGTTATTTTACTAATTCTGCGTAAGCGCGGTACTTCCCCAGCGGTAGCAACCTATTCATGCTATAACTATAATATAGTTATGGCCCTTTTTTTGAAAAAACGTTATCCCCACACTAGGATTTTCTCCTATATCGTGGAGGCAGTTTAGAAACATAAATTGCAGAAGGACAAGCATCCCGGACAATTATTTGTAGGCCATATAAATACCTGTCGAGTGCGGGATTCGAACCCGCAGCCTCCAGCGCGGCCGCTCATTGCTTTTTCTTATAGAAGAGGGGGCAAGCGAGCATGCGGCTCACCTGATGGTAAGTGACTACCGCCGCCCATGATCAACTGCAACACCAGGGGAATTGCAGGTGCGTTGCCGGCCTTTTAAAAAAGAGTAGGCTCTTTTCTTTAAGGTCCCAAAGTCGTATCGGTCCTGAAAAATTTCTGGTGGTAGTCAATTCCACAAGAAAGTTGTGCGAGGAAGAAAACTTCTTTTAAATCACACGGTGGTGGCCCGCCAGTCAGCCTTTAGAAAGAGTAAGCTCTTTTCTTGAAGGTCACTAAGTCACGATTGCTAAGCCACTGCGCCACGTAGCCGTCAAAATTACGTATGATGTGCGACACGCCTGACGTCAGCGAAGCGTGGACAAAACCAAAGTATATCTTAGGCGTACATGCCACGCTCATGCAGGCGGTCAGTTTTACAACGATCACGGTTATGATTGACGAATAACCTACCGTGTAATGCAGTGATTGACGCCTGCTTGAGCGTGTACTGCACGCGTTACAATACAGGCGTCCATGTCCAGCCATTGGCTATTAAAACATTGAACCAATATTGCATAAGAACTTTAGTTAAAAATGAATAAATACCGAATCCGTAAAAGTACCTTAACTGAAAGGAAATGTAATTTTTTTAGAATCATGCCCGAATCCTCGTCCGTTGATCAACTTTAAGATGCCGTTAAGTTTCATGCTGTCTCTGTCACTTTAAGTCAAAGTGTCTGTGACACCACGAGACTTAGCGACATCTTAAAACTAACCAACTTGTAAGTATTTGCTCATTAGAGTATGAAGTGTTTGTCGGAGACCTTGTCTTCCACGCTGCGCAAACGGCGCTCGCACTCGCGGCGCAGCACAGCGTCATGCGGAGGCGGGAATGCGGTGCGCGGAAAGTTCATGGCGGCCACCAGCTCCAGCAGCAGCACCAACTGCTCCCACAGCCCGCCCGCGCGCACCATCACACCTACATCACCATACTTTCATTGCTCTTATACACAGGTTGTTCCAAATGTCGACGTCAAGCCGGAGTCGTTTGATAGGTCAAGTCATAATAGTTAACAGAAAAATATATAAAAAATGTTTACTATGTGTTTTAAAATTATAGGCATTTATAAAAAGATCCAGAAAATCTACACCCTATGACGATGTCGACGCCAGATAGTCGACAGTCGACCCTATTGCATTTCTTGTAAGGCGCTTAATATAATGTTATAGTATAGAGTCATACACCAACCGTACAACCAACAGTCGAAAGTCGACCCTATTGCATTTCTTGTAAGGCGCTCAATATAATGTTATAGTATAGAGTCATACACCAACCGTACAACCAACAGTCGACAGTCGACCCTATTGCATTTCTTGTAAGGCGCTTAATATAATGTTATAGTATAGAGTCATACACCAACCGTACAACCAACAGTCGACAGTCGACCCTATTGCATTTCTTGTAAGGCGCTTAATATAATGTTATAGTATAGAGTCATACACCAACCGTACAACCAACAGTCGACAGTCGACCCTATTGCATTTCTTGTAAGGCGCTTAATATAATGTTATAGTATAGAGTCATACACCAACCGTACAACCAACAGTCGACAGTCGACCCTATTGCATTTCTTGTAAGGCGCTTAATATAATGTTATAGTATAGAGTCATACACCAACCGTACAACCAACAGTCGACAGTCGACCCTATTGCATTTCTTGTAAGGCGCTTAATATAATGTTATAGTATAGAGTCATACACCAACCGTACAACCAACAGTCGACAGTCGACCCTATTGCATTTCTTGTAAGGCGCTTAATATAATGTTATAGTATAGAGTCATACACCAACCGTACAACCAACAGTCGACAGTCGACTCTATTGCATTTCTTGTAAGGCGCTTAATATAATGTTATAGTATAGAGTCATACACCAACCGTACAACCAACAGTCGACAGTCGACCCTATTGCATTTCTTGTAAGGCGCTTAATATAATGTTATAGTATAGAGTCATACACCAACCGTACAACCAACAGTCGACAGTCGACCCTATTGCATTTCTTGTAAGGCGCTTAATATAATGTTATAGTATAGAGTCATACACCAACCGTACAACCAACAGTCGACAGTCGACCCTATTGCATTTCTTGTAAGGCGCTTAATATAATGTTATAGTATAGAGTCATACACCAACCGTACAACCAACAGTCGACAGTCGACCCTATTGCATTTCTTGTCAGGCGCTTAATATAATGTTATAGTATAGAGTCATACACCAACCGTACAACCAACAGTCGACAGTCGACCCTATTGCATTTCTTGTAAGGCGCTTAATATAATGTTATAGTATAGAGTCATACACCAACCACACAACCAACCAATCACACTGCACAAATACTCAACCCGTCATTCCCCACACCCGACACTCACATTCGTTCTCACATTCCCATCCTAACCTCCGAACAAACAAGACACAAGCACAATACCAAGAATAATGTGTTTAATAAAACTAAATTCAAACCAAAAAAAAATGTTTTATTAGGGTAGCCCCCTATATGTAAAGTGGGAAGTGACTTTTTTTTAATTTCAACCCTAACGTGTGATATATTGTTGGAAAGGTACTTTTAAACTCATAAGTGGGAACACTTATTGTGACGGACGGGAAACTACGGAACCCTACACTGAGCGTGGCCCGACACGCTCTTGGCCGGTTTTTTTTCTGTATTTAAGTACAGAAAAAAAGAGAAGCCAAAGAAGCCAATTTGGCCTTCACTTCCAAGTGACCACGAAACTTCGTGTCGACCACGAACCGTCACTAGATATGTTGACGCCGAGGATTCTGATACTGGCTGAGGCAACAAGTGGAGTGCCCTGAAACTGAGGAGATACGACAAAGGGGTTCTTTTTAGCGGTTAACGCGCAAACTTGTGTCTTCTGAGGGTTAAACTGGACTAGATTTAGACTTTGCCTTAGCAATGACTCTTGTGAAGGACCTGGAGGCGGAATTATACTTATTTTTTAGAGCGCTGGTGTTTACATCCCGGAACGTTGATGCGTCAGCCCAGGCTTGGTAGCACTCCTGCTAATTGCATAATGCTATTTTACAGGAACGACCAAACCACGGCTGAGATTTGCCTCCGATGGGCACCACAGAGAAAGGAATAAAAAGTTCTATACCCTGAAGTACCAGTTTCAGCGACAGAATCAGCAAGAACGCTGCTGTGTTTCGTATGGTGAGTGTAGAGAACCGGAGACCCATTTTTACTGGAAACGAGGCATTCCATCTTAGTCCTCACGGGTGACAACGCATCTGCATTTTGATTCGTAATCGAGGATAGATGTAGATGTCTGTGGGCCACAGCAACCACTAACCATCAGACGGACTGTGTGCTCGCTTGTCACCCTGTCCTATAAAAAAAAACAGGTGATTTATTAAAATTAATTTTTAGGTTGTGATGTGTCAGCCAATTTGTAACCTGGTGGTTCAATTTGTTTAAAAATACCCTAAGTAGTTCGTTTATTTAAATAATAAATAGCAATCATCCCAAAACGCTGACCTGTGGGATGGAGCAAGTAGTGTGGATTGCTTTAGATCTATCGGATCTATCTAAATTTCGCCAGCGTCATGGTTATAATGCACTATCTCTGCATATTGTTTACGGTTTTCTAAGTAAGATTTAAACCATATGTATGCCGTAACTCGTATACCGATGTCATATAGCTTCTGTAATAACATTGGGTATTGTACTCTATCATAGGCTTTGGTCATGTCTAATATATACCTACGACATATCCTTTCAATTAAAATATCAAGTATTTTTTGTATATATTTGTATACTGCCAGTGTAGTTGACCGTTTCTTCCTAAAGCCATTTTGTGAATAATCAAAAAGTTTAAATTTTTCACAGAAAGCGTAAACTCTATTTGACATTGCCTTTTCGAAGATTTTCGAAGATGTAGGTAACACTGCTATCGGTCTATAATAATTTGTAGTGTTTGCTTTTGTATCCTTTTTATGTATATGTTTTACTGTAGCAGTTTTTAATATATCTAGAAACGTTCCTTCCGTAAAAGATTGATTGATTCAAATACTAAATAGAAAAGTTAAAGAATCGACAATTTTATTTCATTAATTTCGGTGGTAATTCATCTATTCCATAACTCTTTTCATTAAATTAATAAGCTACCCTATTTGGTTCTGATACATGTCGTTTGTCCACTAAAATTTCAATATTTAATTTTATTCGTTGTTTTATTAGTGCGTTTCTTTGTAATGGGCCCGCCCACATACATTTTACCTTATTATCAGATTGTTTTATTCTAATTGTATAATCCATTTTTTTTGGTTTTATATACTACTTTTATCAGTATTTTTTCAAATGTTTATAGTGTTTTTTAAATACGGGCTCTTTGTATACGAAGTTAGAACTTTTAAAACTCTGTTATTTTGACATGAAATTTTGAGGCCTTTCGTTAACCAATGGTTTTTTTTTTTTGCTCTAAAAGTAACGGTTTTTTAGGAATACATACATTTAGCAAATTTTGTAATATGTCATGAAATATATAATAGTTTTCATTAAGGCTTCTTTCGACGTTTATAACAGTACGTCAGTCTATAAGTGAAAGCTGAGATTTATATTAATTAATGTTTTTCTTGTTAAAAAATAGTTTTGTACTCAAGGAATTGTTTTTACAGTGCAACCTCGATATAACAAATCGGAAGGGAACAAGTAAATATTCGTTATATCAAGTAATTAGTTGAACTGAGGTTTGTTATGTTGAGGTTAGCTTGGTCTAAAATTTGTTACAAAGAGGCAAAAAATTGTTTTTTCACAACTTCTACTAATAAACTTTATATAAGAGTTTTGGGTTGACAAAATTTGTTAATTAGAGGTACTGACACTTTCTTAATAGTTTCAAATTCGTTATAAAGAGGTTGTTCGCAAGAAACGTTCCCAATGTAAATGTATATTTTATATTGAATCTTATGGACAATACAAGGGGATTACGAAAAATTTGTTAAATCGAGGAAGTCGTTATATTGAGGTACGTTACATTAAGGTAGCACTGTATTATGTTATTTTCTGTTCTTAAATTAATCGTAGTTTCCTTTGCACATAGTGTTAATCGGCGAGTATTCTCCTATTTTCGCTCGTCGCACGATCCCTGAGATGAAAGAAAACTACATCCCATGTCGTTCAATGGGACCATCGGACTTAGCTGAATAATGCTAGCCCATTCCCGGGAATGCCACTGCACGCATCGAGAGCGTGACGTGATTATGAAATCACGGCGTGCGAGAGAGGGAGAGATGAGCTTACCGTACTGGTAGAGCAGGTCGACGTACGCGTGCGAGAGCGAACGCGTGTCGTGCATCGCGGCGGCGGCGACGTCCGCCACGCCGCCCGCCCCTCCGCCCTCCCCGCCCCCCGCCCCGCCCAGCGCGCGCAGCGGCCGCAACCACAGCTCCAACCGCACGCCCACATCGCGCTCTGCAAGAGTTGACCAACGTTCACTAGAATACAATATCATTATGTCAGACATGAAGGATTTAATTCAGTACATATTGGCCCACGGAAACTTTTTTGGAAACTTTCGTTTTTAATAACAAACTCTTAAAGTAACAGCTCGCATATAAAACAGGGGCAACTTTACTCGTTCGCAAAACGTCTAAACGAGCAATAATCATAACAGGCCTGCTGCACTGCCTCTACATATTGACTTATCCACATTTTGTTACGCAGTGTTCATCGGTGAGTATTCTACTATTTCCTATGGAAAGCAGTGAAGTTTGAAAGACACGGACTGCCCTAGAATGTTCTATGTTGCTCGTATTGGGTATAAAAGACACGGACTGCCCTAGAATGTTCTATGTTGCTCGTATTGGGTATAAAAGACACGGACTGCCCTAGAATGTTCTATGTTGCTCGTATTGGGTATAAAAGACACGGACTGCCCTAGAATGTTCTATGTTGCTCGTATTGGGTATAAAAGACACGGACTGCCCTAGAATGTTCTATGTTGCTCGTATTGGGTATAAAAGACACGGACTGCCCTAGAATGTTCTATGTTGCTCGTATTGGGTATAAAAGACACGGACTGCCCTAGAATGTTCTATGTTGCTCGTATTGGGTATAAAAGACACGGACTGGCCTAGAATGTTCTATGTTGCTCGTATTGGGTATAAAAGACACGGACTGCCCTAGAATGTTCTATGTTGCTCGTATTGGGTATAAAAGACACGGACTGCCCTAGAATGTTCTATGTTGCTCGTATTGGGTATAAAAGACACGGACTGCCCTAGAATGTTCTATGTTGCTCGTATTGGGTATAAAAGACACGGACTGCCCTAGAATGTTCTATGTTGCTCGTATTGGGTATAAAAGACACGGACTGCCCTAGAATGTTCTATGTTGCTCGTATTGGGTATAAAAGACACGGACTGCCCTAGAATGTTCTATGTTGCTCGTATTGGGTATAAAAGACACGGACTGCCCTAGAATGTTCTATGTTGCTCGTATTGGGTATAAAAGACACGGACTGCCCTAGAATGTTCTATGTTGCTCGTATTGGGTATAAAAGACACGGACTGCCCTAGAATGTTCTATGTTGCTCGTATTGGGTATAAAAGACACGGACTGCCCTAGAATGTTCTATGTTGCTCGTATTGTGTATAAAAGACACGGACTGCCCTAGAATGTTCTATATTGCTCGTATTGGGTATAAAAGACACGGACTGCCCTAGAATGTTCTATGTTGCTCGTATTGGGTATAAAAGACACGGACTGCCCTAGAATGTTCTATGATGCTCGTATTGGGTATAAAAGACACGGACTGCCCTAGAATGTTCTATGTTGCTCGTATTGGGTATAAAAGACACGGACTGCCCTAGAATATTCTATGTTGCTCGTATTGGGTATAAAAGACACGGACTGCCCTAGAATGTTCTATGTTGCTCGTATTGGGTATAAAAGACACGGACTGCCCTAGAATGTTCTATGTTGCTCGTATTGGGTATAAAAGACACGGACTGCCCTAGAATGTTCTATGTTGCTCGTATTGGGTATAAAAGACACGGACTGCCCTAGAATGTTCTATGTTGCTCGTATTGGGTATAAAAGACACGGACTGCCCTAGAATGTTCTATGTTGCTCGTATTGGGTATAAAAGACACGGACTGCCCTAGAATGTTCTATGTTGCTCGTATTGGGTATAAAAGACACGGACTGCCCTAGAATGTTCTATGTTGCTCGTATTGGGTATAAAAGACACGGACTGCCCTAGAATGTTCTATGTTGCTCGTATTGGGTATAAAAGACACGGACTGCCCTAGAATGTTCTATGTTGCTCGTATTGGGTATAAAAGACACGGACTGCCCTAGAATGTTCTATGTTGCTCGTATTGGGTATAAAAGACACGGACTGCCCTAGAATGTTCTATGTTGCTCGTATTGGGTATAAAAGACACGGACTGCCCTAGAATGTTCTATGTTGCTCGTATTGGGTATAAAAGACACGGACTGCCCTAGAATGTTCTATGTTGCTCGTATTGGGTATAAAAGACACGGACTGCCATAGAATGTTCTATGTTGCTCGTATTGGGTATAAAAGACACGGACTGCCCTAGAATGTTCTATGTTGCTCGTATTGGGTATAAAAGACACGGACTGCCCTAGAATGTTCTATGTTGCTCGTATTGGGTATAAAAGACACGGACTGCCCTAGAATGTTCTATGTTGCTCGTATTGGGTATAAAAGACACGGACTGCCCTAGAATGTTCTATGTTGCTCGTATTGGGTATAAAAGACACGGACTGCCCTAGAATGTTCTATGTTGCTCGTATTGGGTATAAAATACACGGACTGCCCTAGAATGTTCTATGTTGCTCGTATTGGGTATAAAAGACACGGACTGCCCTAGAATGTTCTATGTTGCTCGTATTGGGTATAAAAGACACGGACTGCCATAGAATGTTCTATGTTGCTCGTATTGGGTATAAAAGACACGGACTGCCCTAGAATGTTCTATGTTGCTCGTATTGGGTATAAAAGACACGGACTGCCCTAGAATGTTCTATGTTGCTCGTATTGGGTATAAAAGACACGGACTGCCCTAGAATGTTCTATGTTGCTCGTATTAGGTATAAAAGACACGGACTGCCCTAGAATGTTCTATGTTGTTCGTATTGGGTATAAAAGTCACGGACTGCGCTAGAATGTTCTATGTTGCTCGTATTGGGTATAAAATACACGGACTGCCCTAGAATGTTCTATGTTGCTCGTATTGGGTATAAAAGACACGGACTGCCCTAGAATGTTCTATGTTGCTCGTATTGGGTATAAAAGACACGGACTGCCCTAGAATGTTCTATGTTGCTCGTATTGGGTATAAAAGACACGGACTGCCCTAGAATGTTCTATGTTGCTCGTATTGGGTATAAAATACACGGACTGCCCTAGAATGTTCTATGTTGCTCGTATTGGGTATAAAAGACACGGACTGCCCTAGAATGTTCTATGTTGCTCGTATTGGGTATAAAAGACACGGACTGCCATAGAATGTTCTATGTTGCTCGTATTGGGTATAAAAGACACGGACTGCCCTAGAATGTTCTATGTTGCTCGTATTGGGTATAAAAGACACGGACTGCCCTAGAATGTTCTATGTTGCTCGTATTGGGTATAAAAGACACGGACTGCCCTAGAATGTTCTATGTTGCTCGTATTAGGTATAAAAGACACGGACTGCCCTAGAATGTTCTATGTTGCTCGTATTGGGTATAAAAGACACGGACTGCGCTAGAATGTTCTATGTTGCTCGTATTGGGTATAAAAGACACGGACTGCCCTAGAATGTTCTATGTTGCTCGTATTGGGTATAAAAGAAACGGACTGCCCTAGAATGTTCTATGTTGCTCGTATTGGGTATAAAAGTGTGCGCTGGCGATAAGTGGTCAACTTCGAGAAGCAATTACGAGCAATCAACCTACCACATCTGCGATTATTAAGGACCTCACCAAAAATACTTTCTGTGTTTTAAAAGAAAACATCCATTTCTCATCCCAACCAGCATTTTTATTCACCCCGCACATCAAAGTACAAAATTTTATGTATGATTTGATGTCGACAATTGTATTCAAACATTTATTACACATATCCTTATACATTGAAAACATCACCTAGTCTGATACGTTGTTATATTTTTTCCATTTCACCCACGCTTTAGGTTTTTTTAAATGTGCTACTTAGGGATTGCGAAAACCAGACCAGAAAAGCAGAGGTTGCTTGATAATTTCGTCAATTATTCCATAAAATGCGCTAAGTGCTTCTTCAAATCCCAGGGGCGTAAGTATTTCACCCCAGTCAGTGGACTCTATTTTGCGGTTGATGAGCGTGTAGTCGGACTTATAAAAATTGTACCTTTGAAGCGTCCGCCTTTTCATTGGAACAATATCAACATTGAGAGCTAGCTATATCACAAATAAAGGGTGGATGATTTGCGTCAACAAGAAGTAGAGGACTCAACGCGACCAATATGCCTGCAAATCCAAAGTCTCTAGTTATTTGCAGACTATGAACTATGAGGAGACTGAATCTCTCCTCCATCCTATCAGGTAGGTAATAATATACTAACGCCCACACCCACTCTGACACACGCACTCACACACACACACACACACACACACACACACACACACACACGCACACACACACACACACACACACACACACACACACACACACACACACACACACACACATAAACACACACACACACACACACACACACACACACACACACACATACACACACACACCATTTCTCTCTCTTTTCTCTCTTTTTTGATTACTTTGCAATCACCAACTGTACCTTAATGATCAACATCCTGTGAGGAGAGTGCTGGTGCTCTGAAACACAGGCTCTTAGCCTAGCTCGGACGCCAGTCTCTCACAATCTAAATATGTTTTTTCCCTGGTAAAAACCTCTGTTCATTACTATACTAATATCTTAGATTGTGGAGAAAATAAAGAATTTTTATTATTATTATTATTTATTATTAATATCTTACACGAGCGGTTTGATATGCATAAATCAAGTAGTTTGTGTTTGGTATTCAATACGTAGTTGTATTCTGCAGCATCTAGAAATGTATATAGCTCCTATAAAAAGTGTGTGTCCTATAAATAGTGTAAATGGGTGTGTATGTGAATGTATGAATGTACGTTCGTGTGAAATGTACGAGAGTCCCTTACAATAATACTACAACAGACAAGGAATACATTACCGTAGTAATTAAAATGATTGAAAATTTTGTAACTTATCAAAGTGTAACAACATATGGCAACAAGGAGGCCGAGACGATTACATGATAATAAACCTAGGATCAACATAAAATTTATTAATACAAGTATGTTTATAAACTTACAATTCAAATGAGCATTATTTTTAATTTTGACGTAAGGCACAATTATTTTATGTTTTTACACGTTTAGTTTATTTAGTTATCATACCATTGATTTCATTATAGCACCATCAATAGTAATAGTAATATATACTTCATAAAATAAATATTTCAACAAAGTTTAACATAGTGCAATAATACCATATAACCCTACTAACGTAACACAGTGTAAGGAAAACTTTATTGCAAAAGTATTAAATATTTTATTTGACGTGTTGTTTGCATTTTTGGATGAAAGAACGATAAAAATCATTAATAAATACGTATAATGCAGAGTGACACCTAGGGAAGAAATTAAGCGAGATATATGGTGTATAGAATAATGATTATAATGATAAGTATTGTTATTACTGAATATGTTGAGTAGAACCACCACAAGGGCTTTTATCACCACCTTTAGTACGGCTTTTGGTCTTACGAAGGTCATCATCTGTGCGGATAGCAAAAGCAGTATCACCATCTTGGACGCGCACCAAAATAGTAGCATTCCGAAACCAGACAAACTTGTATTGGTGCATAGCGGCGAGGTTTCTGGTTTTACGAAGTAATTGATTTTTTTTTTTCAGTGTAAGATGCTCGTTCATATATATGGTCATTGTCGATCCGGTGAGACCTAGCTGGTCGGTCTTGAGAGTTTTCACCTTACGAAAATCCGCAAGTACGTTGTCCAGAAGAAAGTTGTTGCGCGATGAAAGTTTCACAATATTACACAATAACATTCTTGGGCTTATTTGTTTGAAGGTGAGCATGGGGAACTCAATGGATTGACAGAATATCTTTGTGAGAAATTGGAAAGTTAATAGCCATACTAATTACGTTCAACAAGTTTTCACTGCGAGTTTCACGAATGGTACAGATTTCGATGTTGCATGGTCTGGCTTGTTGCTCTAGGTATTCGAGTTTAGTTTCTAAGATGCTAATGGTTGGGCCGTGTAGTGGCGGCTGAGAATATCCACTACCCCATATCTTCCCGTGGGTGTCGTAAGAGGCGACAGAGGGAAACAGGCAGGAGATGGGCAGCAGCATCTTCCTGATAACAACTGTGTTATAATAAAAAACTGCGGTTGCCAACCCGCTCGCCAAGCGTGGCAACTATGGCAAATATCCCCCCATGAATAACGACGCAAAAAAACGGCCCCCAGTCCCCGGCGGCCCCGCTATTTCTGGCTACGGTGGCGACCATGGTAACGGCGGGGCAGGGGGTGCTAAGAATCTCCGGTGGAGGTTCGGTTGCCACCTACGACGACTCGACCTGGCAACATATAACGCACGCACTCTGAGGACTGACGAGAAGATACTGGAGCTGGAAGAAGAGGTAGACAAGTTGCGATGGCATATTATTGGATTATCCGAGGTCCGAAGAGAGGGGGAGGATGCGACAATCCTCGAGTCCGGCAACTTGTTCTACCACCGAGAGGGCGACCATCTGTCCCAAGGAGGTGTCGGATTTATCGTCCACAAGTCTCTCGTCAACAACGTTGTAAAGATTGGGAGTGTGTCGACGAGGGTCGCGTACCTGATACTCAGAATCACCAAACGGTATTCGCTGAAGGTCATACAGGTTTACGCCAACCTCGGCACACCAACCATCATCATCAGGGATACCAACCTCGGCACATCCCGATGAGGAGGTGGAGGAAATGTATGAGGATATTTCCAAAGCCGTGCATTCCTCCAAAACCCACTACACGGTGTACACCCACAAAACTAGGCACAAGAGAAAGCGGTGAGCTGAAGGTGGGGAAATTTGGAGTAGGGCAACGGAGCCGAAGGGGCCAGCAGCTGGCCGACTTTATGGAGAAAGAGGGACTCTTTATGATGAACTCTTTCTTCCAGAAGCGGCCCCACAGGAAGTGGACCTGGTCGAGCCCCGACGGTTCGACAAAAAATGAGATTGACTTCATTATGACGACCAGACGTCAACTGTTCAGTGATGTCTCAGTGATCGCAAGGGTGAAAACTGGCAGCGATCACCGAATGGTTAGAGGCACACTGAACCTAAATGTTAAGTTGGAGAGGTCTCGTCTAATGAAGTCAACGCTCCGTCCCCCTCGTGCTCTAATCCAGAATCCCGAAACCTTTCAGCTCGAGTTACAAAACCGCTTTCAGTGAGTAGAGGATTGCAATGCAGTGGACGATATGAATGACAAGCTCGTGGAAACTGTCCATGCGGTCGGAGCTAAGTTCTGCAAGACCCGCCGCAGAAGAACACAAAAACTCTCCGATCATACTCTTAATCTCATGGCTGTTAGACGGGAGATGAGGCTGCAACCGTCCACAGATTTGACAGCATACAGGCAACTGAACAGACAGATCTCCAAATGCATGCGACAAGACTTACGCAACTTTAATACTGCTCGTATTAAAGAAGCGATCGAGCGGAACCAGGGCTCCAAAGTCTTTGCCAGAGATCTGTCTGCCAGAAAGAGCCAACTGTCAAAGCTGAAGACTAAGTGTGGCAACATCGTTTCCGGGACACCTGAGATTCTGAGTGAGATTGAGAGGTTGTATGGGCATGGTACACATCATCGTTGGAGCCACACGCAAGTGTGAGTAACGATCCAAGAGCAAGTCTTATCCGACACTATTCCGATGATATCCCGGAAGTCAGTCTGAGCGAGATTAGAATGGCTCTCCACCACCTTAAAAACGGCAAGGCCCCGGGCGAGGATGGAATTACAGCGGAGCTTCTGAAAGCGGGTGGAACACCGGTACTTGAAGTCCTTCAGAAGCTCTTCAATTCCGTCCTCCATGGTGGCACTACTCCGGAGGCGTGGAGCAGAAGCACGGTGGTCTTGTTCTTTAAGAAAGGCGACAACGCTCTCTTGAAGAACTACAGACCGATTTCCCTTCTGAGCCGCGTCTACGTGCTGTTTTCGAGAGTCATTACGAATCGTCTCGCACGCAGACTCTACGACTTCCAGCCTCCCGAACAAGCCGGTTTCCGAAAAGGCTTCAGTACCATAGACCACATACATGCCCTTCGGCAAATTGTACAGAAGTCCGAAAAGTACAATCTGCCACTTTACCTGGCGTATGTGGACTATGAGAAAGCCTTTGATTCCGTCGAAATTTTGGCGGTGCTACAGTCTCTTCAGCGGTGCCTAGTTGACTGTCGGTATATTGAAGTGCTGAAGTGTTTGTACAGTAGGGCTACGATGGCTATCCGAGTACAGAACCAGAGTACGAAACCTATCCAACTGCAGAGAGGTGTAAGACAGGGTGATGTTATATCCCCGAAACTCTTCACCGCTGCGTTGGAAGACGTTTTCAAGCTACTGGACTGGAAAGGATACGGTATTAACATCAATGGCGAGTACATCACTCACCTTCGATTTGCCGACGATATAGTCCTTATGGCAGAATCGCTGGAGGACCTTAGCACTATGCTCAATGACCTCAATGGTGTCTCCCAACGGATAGGTCTTAAGATGAACATGGACAAAACAAAGATCATGTTTAATGTCCATGTCACACCTATGCCGGTAGTTGTTGGGAGCACTATGCTCGAAGTTGTTAACGAGTACGTTTACCTGGGACAAATAGTCCGACTAGATAAGTCCAACTTCGACCGAGGTCAATCGACGAATTCAACTCGGCTGGGCAGCGTTCGGGAAATTACGACACATCTTCTCGTCAGGTATACCTCAATCTCTGAAAACTAAAGTGTATAACCAGTGCGTGTTGCCAGTGATGACTTACGGATCTGAGACGTGGTCCTTCACCGCTGGCCGTATGAGGACGCTCAACGACGACAACGACGAGCTATGGAGAGGGCTACGCTCGGAGTTTCACTGCGTGATAAACTCAGAAATGAGGATATCCGCAGTGAAATCAGAGTGACCGACATAGCCCAACGGATTAGTAAGCTGAAGTGGCAATGGGCCAGCCATATAGCTCGAAGAACCGATAACCGATGGGGAAGAAAGGTTCTCGAGTGGCAGCCTCGTACCGGTAGGCGTAGTGTAGGGCGGCCCCCCACTAGATGGAGTGACGACCTGGTAAGACATGCAGGAAGTCGATGGATGCAGGTGGCTCAGGACCGTGCTTTGTGGCATTACTTGGGGGAGGCCTATGTTCAGCAGTGGACTTGTGAAGGGCTGTAATGATGATGATGATGAATGGTTAGGCCGGATTCTTCGGTAGATTGACGTATTATGTCATCCCATTTTTTTTGAGATCATCCTGTTCCGCGGAAAGAAACTGCGTGAATGCTTTTAATTCTGAGTCATCATGGGATATACCAGTAGTTTGATGCTTTAGACATTCATGTTCAGCAGGAAGGGTGCATATGTCCTCCCTGATTCCATTCAAAGCAAATTTTAAATCATCATTAAGTTTAGTTATACTCGCCTCCATCTCATCTCGCCAGTCATGTAGTGTGCTCTTGATATTCTCCTTGAATACAGTCAGTGTATTGTTCATGTCGCTTCGCCATTCCTCTAAGGTCTTATGAAGTTCCTGTGTGAATGTATGGAAAGTAGCACCCGTCTCCAGGGCAACACAGTCACGGACTGAAGCAGCTGGTGTAGTCGGAGTACAAGGTTTGTACGATGATATGGGTGCTTGGCTCTCGATTTCATATGACATATTCATGTTATCATCCAAAGGTATTTGCGTGGATCGCATAAGCAAGTTGGATCGTTCACGTCGGGTAACATTATTGCACGAGAGACATTTCCAGGCTGCTTCAAATTCTTGTCAGTAAAGAATATTGTTGGTGCTTAATATTTAGGCATTCAATGTGGTAGATTCCTTCGACTATGGAGAAAGAGGGACTCTTTATGATGAACTATTTCTTCCAGAAGCGGCCCTACAGGAAGTGGACTTGGTTGAGCCACGACGGTTCGACAAAAAATGAGATTGACTTCATTATGACGACCAGACGTCAACTGTTCAGTGATCTCTTATAGATAGCGAGGGTGAAAACTGGCTGCGATCACCTAACGGTTAGAGGCACACTGAACTTAAACGTTAAGTTGGAGTGGTCTCGTCTAATGAAGTCAACGCTCCGTCCCCCTCGTGCGCTAATCCAGGGTCCCAAAAAGTTTCAGCTCGAATTACAAAACCGTTTTAAGGGCCTAGAAGACTGCAATACAGTGGATGATATGAATGACAAGCTCGTGGAAACTGTCCATGCGGTCAGTCGGAGCTAAGTTCTGCAAGACCCACCGTAGAAGAACACAAAAACTTTCCGATCACTTTTAATCACATAGATGTTAGACGGGCGATGAAGCTGCAGTCGTCAGCATACAGGCAACTGAACAGACAGATCTCTAAATGCATGCGGCAGGACATACGCAACAATACAGCTCATAATGAAGCGATTGAGCGGAACCAGGGCTCCAAAGTCTGGCAGAGATCTGTCTGCCAGAAAGAGCCAACTGACGAAGCTGAAGACTGAGCGTGGCAGATTTATTCATTTTTAGTTATGTATACTGCTTTTTGTTATTTAAATAAGATCCAATGAGTTACAGAACATTTCCTCGTACACCATAAGCACTTACCTAACTTACTTAGTAAAATATTGTTGATCTACATAATCAAAGGCCTGGGTGATGTCACAGAATAGAGCACATATTGGAATTTTTGTCATAAACTGCCCTGTTGACTGTTTTAATCGTTTCTGTTCATCAGTTAAGATATTATTTGTTTCTAAATATGCATTTAGCTGCTTATAAATGAATTTTTCCAATTTTTTTTAGAAAATGTGTATTAGCGTTATAGGCCTATAGAAATTAGAACAAGTAGAAATTTTTAATTATATATATAGCGGGGTGAAGAGACGGTTGGCGGGGCGAGGGGACTTAGCGGCTGGCTACGTCGTGCGCGCAGCGCAGTCGCAGTCTGCAGAGAGCTGAGTTGTGAGTTAGTCGGCGGCGACGCCGAGCCGGCCACGAGCCGTAGGCGCGCGGCGCCCGCGCCAGTGAACGCCGGCGTTCCCGGGTCGAAATTTGAGGTCGCGAGAAAGATATAATTGTGCGTCGAAAAGACGGCCTTAAGTTATCTTATATTAGTACGTAACTTGATAACTAGGCTTATTCTTTAGTTTGTTGCGCGAAGCCCGGGTCGCTTCTATATTGAGAGTCTCCTTGCGTTGTCTTATATTTGTAAGTTTCCGAATATCGAAGCCATATTGGATAATTGTTTGTAACCGTGTTTAGTATTATTTGTGAATCATACGGTGGCGCGCTGCAGGTGTTGATTCGAAGACCTAAGACTTGTGTTAATGGAGCGCGCTATTTTGAATTTATTATTGAATATTAGAATATAACCTAGACCGCCTCGAATTTAGCGTCTATTTTGGAACGTGTTACGTGACGGGTGCTTACTTGGAATTTGTAGTGATTGAAGGACCTTTTGTGCCGTTAATTGAATCGACGCGCTAGTAGTTTTGTGCTACGTGGGCCGGGGACATTGAACTTTGACCCACCGTCCTTGAGTTGTACCGCGTGTCCCTGTTTAACGTCGATGGACTTGATTTGATTGAACTTGAAGATAATTAATTGTACAATAAAGTGATAAACGAATATAGTGAAAGTAGAAGCGGAGTGTTCCATGGTTGAATGCCCCTTGGATGGATCCCACATTTGAAAAGAGGCGACGCCTTTGGATCATCTGTCTAGCGCCAGCGGGGACGTCAGGTTACACATAGAATACTTACTGAACATCGCATGCACCTACTATTTTACCTGACTATTCCTGTGGTTAACCCTACCTCGACAAACGGTAAGTGTTGCTTGGTTCTTTGTTAGCCGCTATAGCGTGATTATCCATAGGTCATTGGACCCTCTCCTTGGCTACCCGTCGAGTTGGACTACCATGGGCCCTAGTTCAGTCGGCTATGGTCAGGGTAGCCTCGGGGCAGTAATATATATATATATATATATATTCTCTAACTGACTTTTGTAGATATATCATTATAGCCTACACTAGCTTTTTTTGCTAATTGAGATGTTATTGTCATAATATTTACTGGAGTGCTAGGCGCCATAAACATCGATTCACGTTTATCCGATATCAGCTTTGTTATTTTAGTTCGATGTCCTGATATAGGAGGAATTTTTGTATGAAATAATTATTAAAAACATTGCATATCTCTCGTGGGTTGGTGATAATCTGATCTATATCGGTTTGTATTTTTGAGATACAATCGTCAGACTGGATTTGTTTCGAGCGATTTATTATTCGCCACGTCATTTTTGATACATATATTATCTGATGTCTTTATTTTGTAATTATTTCGCGCAAGTTGAGTTAATTTGATAATTCTTTTGAATCTTCTACTATATATTTAAATAGTTTAATTTGTTTTTTTTTGTAGGTTTGAGTATACAGGTCATATAGCAACTGCCTCTTTCTTTTGCTGAACATCATTATTCCACGGGATGCCCATTAAGATTTACTTGTGGAGTTGTAATTATTATTATTTTTAGAGGGAAACATAAGTTATAAAATAGTTTAAAAATTACAACAAAACTATCGTAGGCTTTATTTGGGTCTATTGTGTTATATATTTCATTGAAAGAATTTTTAAACATTCCTTAAACTTAATGATATTTCCTTTACTTAAATCTCGTTTCCTAACACGCCAAAAGCAAATTTCGTCAATTGTTTTTTACCTAGCTCAAGGATTTCCGGTTTACAAGGTTTTATTAAATTGTGGGCAAAGTTATGGACACATGTGTTATTTTTTAATTCAAGTTTAAGATTTATTTCAACGATTTATTTCAAGTTTAAGATTATAGTTTAAAAGTAGACCTTCAAAACTAAAGTAGCATTATTTTTATTCAATATTTTAATGTTAAAATCACCTGTAATTACAATATTCATAGTTATAGTTAAGGTTGTTATACTTTGGTACCCTGTATATACATACAATTATTGTCCTGCAGCTCGTTAGTTCTATGGCACAGCATTCGAATAATCTTGAAAATGATAGCTTCGAAATGTTTGGCGGTTCTCGCCACCGCAGACCTTTCTTAACCAACATGTAGGCGCAACCTCTTTTGCATTCAGCTCTACTGTAGCATGCTGCTAAGCGGTAGTTTGGGATATTTAGGTTAGCTTCAAGTCCTTGCATAATAAAATGCTCCGTAATACAGATTATATCAATATGAATATTTTTGACGGAAAGTTTTTCTATGCAAATCGTGAGCTCTCCGGATTTATTAATTAGTCCTGCCATATTAAGTTGTAAAATATTTAAATTATTGGAAGCATTCAGAAGTCAAGAAAAAAGTTATTGTTTATCATTGATTTTTCATTATTATTTTATACATTATATGGGTTTTGTATGTCTATTATTAATTTGAATATGTCTTTAAAATTGTATAAAGTCCTAAGTTATTTAATCTGCTAGTCGTCTTATGAAACATTCTGTGGTCATATTGCAAGTTGAGATTACTGTCGAGTAAGTAGGCATGTTCATATGTCAAAATATTAAGGAAAAAAATTATTAATTTTTAAATCACGTTGATAAATTATGTATTTTAAACCCCCATATTACCCTTACCATTTTAAAATATTGTCTCCTTGTACCTAAATTTACATACTTGTTACGCTCAAGTCCAGTCTGGAAATGTTCGGATATTTTAAAAATATTGATAGTAATCTTAAAATTGCTTTAGAAAACATTCTAAATTTGAGATTAACAATAGCCTGGAATCAAGCCACTTTACCTATCAAATTTGGTGGAATTGGTGTAAGAAATATTTCTAGCGTCGCATTGCCTGCTTTCCTTGCTTCCGTGCATAGTGTCAATGACCTATGTAACACAATTTTAAATAATAAAGTAGACCTGTGCTTTGCTGCGGAGGCAAAGCAAACATGGCTAACGCTCTGTCCCGGCGAAAATGTCCCACTGGAAGTTAACCACCAAAAACAGTGGGATATTCCGTTGGTACGGATTGCGCAAATATGAGTCTTTGAGAAATGACTACATTTTTGTGCCATTTGCTGTAGAGACTATCGGTCCGTGGGGTCCACGTGCAATGAAGTTTCTAAAGGAACTGTATCCACGACTGGTCATCGCTGCTGGTGATAAGAGGGCTGGTTTTTTCCTCGCTTAAAGGCTAAATATAGCTATTCAGCGAGGAAACGCAGCCAGCGTTCTTGGCACTACACCACGGGGAGCAGGTCTTTTTGACGATTTAAATTTTTAGTTTTAGATTTTCTATATTAGTTTTTTTTATAGAAGAGGGGGCAATCGAGCATGCGGCTCACCTGATGTTAAGTGACTACCGCCGCCCATGATCAACCGCAACACCAGGAGAATTGCAGGTGCGTTGCCGGTCCTTTAGAAAGGAGTAAGTTTCTTCTTTTATATTGTATATAATCGTAAATATTATAATTTTAATTATTATTTTAGTTAAGTTCTTTATTATAATTTTTGTAATATAAATTGAACGTTATTTTAAAAGAAATTGTTAAATGTCTCAATTCTCCAATTTTAAATACTGGCATAGTTTATGTATTTGAATGTTGGTAAACATAGGATCACATTGGTATGTTTTATTTTATCTAATGTTTTTTGGATACTTAGTACTAAGCTACAGTAGTTATTTATTCTTTTGAAGTCTTCTTCACCCAGTAGAATAATACAGTAGTCATGCATAGTATAGTTGACTAAATTATGTTCTAATCCTAGTAAAAGCTGTTTAATTTTTCTGCTGGGTGTCAGGTAGTGACAGATGTCGTAGGCATCGCTAAAAGTGTTTGCAGCAATCAACAGTAGATTATTGCTGTTATCCGTGCTCAACACGCACATTTGTTTTGTTTAGAACATTAGCGGCGCGGGGATTCCCTATGTAATGACTGTTTTGTTTGGTTTTGGTTTCGTTGTCGAGACTCTATCCATATTTTTTTTGTTACTAATTACTTCGGTTCTCTTTTCACTTAAATTACATTTTTCGGTTTGAGTTTGTTTGTTGATATTGTTCAGTTTGTTTTTAGGTATTGTCGATTTTAATCTTAATGGACTGCCCGTTACTTTTTTTTATAAATCATTTTTTTAATTGGTTCCGCATTTATTTTTCTCAGACTTTTGTTCTCTAAAGACAGTGTTTCGATTTCGTTATGCGCACTCTGAAATTGTAATGTTAAGTTTTCTATTTGTTCTTTTAGTAGTTTAATTTGATCGTCATCGTCCATCGAATGTTTGACATGCTTGTACACGTACTATTGGGTGTGTCTATAGGTAATTCACTGTCATCATTACATGGATCTGAATGCGCCCTCTTGCAGCGGAAAGTGATGTTCTACAGAAAGTTCATTTTTTGTCGAAATTCAGTTGTTAGTAATAAGTACTGTTAATTTATATAGCCACCTTCATTGAAATTAATTTATATAGCCACCTTCATTCAAATTAATTTATATAGTAGCCACCTTCATTCAAATTATTTTATATAGCCACCTTCATTCAAATTAATTTATATAGCCACCTTCATTCAAATTAATTTACATATCCACCTTCATTCAAATTAATTTATATAGCCACCTTCATTCAAATTAATTTATATAGCCACCTTCATTCAAATTAGTTTATAATAATAATAATAATAATAAATATTTATTTCATTTCCAATTACACATGTTTACATACAGGAATAAATATGATTACAATTAAATAAAGTAACAATAAGTCTAATAAAAATAACATACTATGATAAAATTAAAACTACGTGTAGCTTAATAATGTAGAATATACAAAAGAAAAATAAAAAAGTCAAGTTTATAATATTAGCTACCTGCCTGAACTAGGTTGAGTACCTGTGTTTCAGACATCACTTTTTTATATAGCCACCTTCATTCAAATTAATTTATATAGCCACCTTCATTCAAATTAATTTATATAGCCACCTTCATTCAAATTAATTCAACTATTTTTCTATTAAATTGATAACTATTAGTAAAAATAAAGCGGGAACTGGAACCGGTATCAAACTATCGCAATCCCGCTGATCTACGAGAATATTTATCTTAGGCGTCTATATAGTGGATCTTATTTAGAAGTATGTTTGTTTTCTTTTCGTACAGTAGTGACCTCTGTATAATATTGTCATAACAGTGTGATATATTCACAGTAGAATTATCTGTCAGCATTCAAGATACACTACTAGTGCTGCTTTAATCCACAAGATGGTGTTATTTACAACAACAGATTTTTGAATAAAAAACGGACCTTGGACTTGCACACTTGTTAGTTTTTACACAATATCACTTGTTTATTTTTGAGTATTTAGTCCTGATCAGAGTAAAGTTGTGAACTCAGACCAATAAAGAATTATGGACGGAGCGCTGCGTACAAGTGACGCCGGTATCAAGCCAAAACCATCCTCCTCAAATAATTGTACGAACACGAGCTAACGCACACATATGCATCTTAAATCATTTGCAACCAAAAGCATGGTAATAGACGTACATGTGTGCGTGGAACTGTGAATTTTTACGGACAGTCAAAGGAAAAAAATCATGGTGTACTTAACGATACGACCTCAAAATGGCAGCGCTCTTCCCTCCGTCACGTAATTGGTCACAGTCTTCACATAACGTTACAAATTCTTTGAGCCTTTAGCTATCGAGTGGTGTAATTAAATTTTGGATGAAGATGATAGATACGTAGCTGCTACACCAAACTTTATCCCCCGATTTTGTTATCATCAATTTGAATTGCCCCCCCCCCCTCCTCTAATAGCAAGCAAATTCAGACGTATTCACGGCAAAAAGAAAGATGTGTGCGTGAGTTCATGCGTGAAGCTGTGAACTTTTACGGGATGTTAAAGAAATATGTGTAAAGGTATAGAAGGAAGTATGTGAAGGTCAAGGTGAGGGGTGTCGAACCTTCAGCGAGGTCGTTGCGCAGCCGCTCGATGTACTGGCGCGCGGGCAGGTCGCGGCGCAGCGCGGCGTACAGGCGCGCGCGCAGTCGCCGCGCACCCGTCCGCCGCGCCGCCTCGCCGCACGCCTCCGCTGCCGCGCGCTCCGCCCCGAACCGTTCCTGCGAGCAACATGCGCGCTACAGCTACGCTCTCACACACTCATGAATCATGCGCAGGCGCAACGCACCCGTGCGCCGCGCATCCTCGCCCCGCGCCCCTCCTCAAACCGCTCCTACGAGCAACATGCGCGCTACAGTCACGCTCTCTCTCTCGCACGCACGCACGCACGCACGCACGCACGCACGCACGCCCGCCCGCCCGCCCGCCCGCACGCCCGCACGCCCGCACGCCCGCACGCTCACACCTTCACAATCTTCAACCAACTGCATCCATAGATTTTTTAGAATAAAAATACCAACTTTTTTATGTTATTTTACATTCTCTTTAACACAGCCACAAATTAATGAATTTCCGTCGGTTATTTGTTGTTATAATATTTTTTTGTTGACTATGCCGAAAGAGAGTCAGTAAATAGTGTAACTAGCATATGCAAATTTAAAAAAAAAACACTTGAATTATTAATTAGTAGTGTGAAAGTTTTCTATTTTGAGAACGTTTAACAACCGTGGGTGTAAAAAAGATGTATGAAAACGTAAGTTACAATTTATTGAAAAAAATGTGTGTCAGTTAATTTTAAATTGGTATAATTGACAATTATTTCTAGTGTAAATAGCAAATAATGCTATTAAAGTGTAAAATGAGTCAGTTTTACTAGGTACACAATGTTCTAATATTGATATTGTAACATTTTAAAACTTTACATTGTATCTGACTACTGGTGTTTACTAAAACACCAAATTATCATGATTATTAGATGAATGTGACTAGCTTATAGCCATTAATTATTGGACACCTGTATCTACAGTATATAGTGAATGGGAGCGAGATTACTTGGAAGTCGATGTATCTCTCCCAAAGCGCGATGTCGTGGGGCGCGTCGTGGAGCAGGCGACGGAAGGCGGCAGCGCGTTCGGCGGCAGCTTCACTTCCGGCGGCGGGGGGCGGCTCAGACGCGCGCCGCCGGAAGTAGCGCCGTGGTGCGCGCCCGCTCGCCCGCCCGCCGCCGCCCAGTGTCCGCGCTCTGCACTCATACCTGCCAAGCAATTCCTATCGTATCTTTACACAAAACAGCAAAGAAGTAAGTGTTGTTAGAATTCGTAGGCATATTCTCAGTTATTTGCAAAAATTGGTCGTTCGAAAAAAACATGTAGCACCAAAAAAATGAAGGTGTGTCACACCTAAATAGAGGGGGGAAAATCAACAATTCACACCTTTCAAGTATCTACATGGATATATTAAATTGCCTTGTTTCTCTGCATGAAATTAAAAAATTAGCTTTCGTCGACTATAATTTCTGCACAATTTGAGGTTTGAAATTGTGCACAAATTATAATCGTATACTAGCGTAGCGTATATTATATCACCCATTTCCTAACTTCCTAACTCCTAAAGTTACTAAGACTCCACATAAGTTGAACACCAGTTTCACTTGTACTTGTACTAAAACTCTTCATTCAATAATCAAAACAAATATTACTTTAAAGTTAAGTACAAAGTACTATAAATTTAATACATTACTATAAAATATATAATCTGACCACAGTGATTGTTTATTTTTATTGTGGATATATGCATTCGAAGTGCAACATGCTGCCAGAGTTTTAACTGTTCAGTACTAAGCCTCGGAACGTAAGTAGATTGTTTGCTTTGGAGTTCTTTGGTCTCTTTTGGCTTCGTCAAAATGTCCAATTTGTACTCATGTAACGTTTATATGCTGTTGTTGTTCCAAAAAAAAGTAAAAAAAGAGTGCAAGCAAGATGGTTAAGTTTGCCTCAATTGGTCGTTCCATTCGTAACGTTCATGTATCATTGGTGCATTACTGACCTTATGACATTTGAATTCTCTTTATTTGCTACAGATAAGAATACTCATACACTTAAGAGTCTATATTCAAATTTGCGCAAGTCAAAATCAATCTGGAATGGCGTAATATTGAAGCACACTACAATCTTCTCGGTGTGCGTGACTGCTCGAGGCGGGGCGAGCGCAGTGGTGACTAGCACGAATCATCTTGATACTATTGGAACTAAAAGAATAAAATAATTTCCACATAACAGCTTATGAGGTCTGTGCTAAGTCATAGTGTATATAAGAATTAATATCCGATCTAGCCCTGACATTGGAAGCTAATATGTATAAATTATTTTATTCTTTTAGTCAATTGAAGTCGGCTTTTCTTTTTTACTCTATTGACTAGACTAAGGAATGTCACAACGTCAAGGTAACAACTAGAAAGGTGTGGGTAATATATGTTCGCATTGAAAAATATGTATTATATGAAATGGATTTCGTTTGATATACATTTATTCAGTTTCATAATGTAAAGATAATTCACCAAAATAACTATTTCATTGGTATCGACAGGGATCGAACCCGGATTGCTCGAGTTAACGGTGAGCACTCTGACTTTGAAATACCGTGGATCATATCTTTTTTGTTTCTATTTTATAATAACGTTACCTCCACACGAAGAATGTTTCCTAGGTATATTGTTGAGGCAGTTAACATAAGAACATAAATTTCACAAGGACAAACATCCAGACCCGGAACAATTATTTGTAGGTATACAAATTTTTGTTCCGTGCGGGAATCGAACCCGCGGCCCTTAGAGTTAAACTCTTTTCTAAGCCATTCCGCCACGGAGTCGTCAAATATATCTTTTATAGGGATTATGATAGTTATATATAGTATGATTTTAGTTATAAATTGCTTTATAAAATAAACTTATAAAATTATTAATAACTAGCTGTTACCCGCGGCTTCGCCCGCATGGTCACTGGGAAATGAACTATCCATTGCTTTTTGAATTGAAAGAAAACTGAGTTTTATAGATTTGTCAGAGATGCAACCATTAAAAGGAAACTGAGCAAAATTGATTCGTCAGCCTATTTAATGTTTTGAAACGCAGCGTATGGGAAAGCATGAAAATAGCCTGTTTATTCTAAATGGAAATGGGATATTTTTTAATTAAAGGAAACTGAGCATAATTATCCTTCAAGGATGCAGACTTTTGAAAAGAAACTGAGCTAAATTGATTCGTCAGAGATGCAGTTTTCTGAATTGAAAGGAAACTGAGCCAGATAAAGGATCCGTCAGAGATGCAGCCTTTTGAGTTGAAAGGAAACTGAGCTTAATAGGTCCGTCAGAGGTGCAGCATTTGGAATTGAAAAGAAACTGAGCTAAATAGGAAATTTTGAATTGAAAGGGAAGATCTGTGGGAATTACAGGGATCCGTGGTATAGTAACATTTTCACCTTTTCCTACGCCTGTCAAAATTGTAGCACCGATTATGTTCCGTCCAAGATGTGTCACACGCAGCCTTGTCCAGTTACATAACCGAGGAGCATCTAAATTTCGCATTATCATGACTGGGACGCCTAATTTTAATTGAAGCTTATGTGAGGGCACACCTGACAACTCTAGAGAATTTAGAAACTCTGAGATATATAGGGATATGAAGTGCTCTGTTCTGTGTCCATAACTGTGTCTACTGACAAATACTCTGTTATTTCTCCTGCTACTTCGCTTAATATATCTGAATTTATTTTGTTAACGCTCTCATTTTTTGGTGCAAGAATCGCCCTTTCACATAACCATTTGTCTTCATGCATGTTGTTCGTTAAATCTGAATAAACGCTCGCAATTAATTCGGAATGACTCTGTACTAAATTACAAAAATCTCTCGTCAATTTAACGCAGCCCTCAGCATCCGTTTCCAACCGCTTATCGCCAATTTTTAATAGTGTGTCAGCATAGTTTCCAGCATTGATATCATTATACAAATGCACTCTCATATTCGTAGTTAAACTGAATTTTGTCACCTTGTTCCATAAAATAGATGACTTGAGGCATGCTTTAATTTCATCTGCAGGTGTGCCCTTTGGAATGACACGTAAAGTTTGGCGAAAGTCACCAGCCAGTAAAACCACCATTCCTCCCATTACATCGGTATTGCTGCGCCAATCCTGGAGCGTTCGATTTAGTGCTTCTACAGCTTTTTTATGCGACATTGTACTTTCGTCCCATACTAAAAGTTTGCATTGTCGTAGCATTATACCTTGTGCACTATTTTTGCTAAAGTTGCAGATCGGCGATTCTTCCTGGGCTAGATTTAGAGGGAGTTTTAAAACAGAATGTGCAGTGCGGCCCCCGCTTAGCAGCGTGGCGGCTATACCGGAAGTGTGAGTAACGATCCAAGAGCAAGTCTTACACGACACTATTCCGATGATATCCCGGACGTCAGTCTGAGCGAGATTAGAATGGCTCTCCAGCACCTTAAAAACGGCAGGGCCCCAGGCGAGGATGGAATTACAGCGGAGCTTCTGAAAGCGGGTGGAACACCGGTACTTGAAGTCCTTCAGAAGCTCTTCAATTCCGTCCTCCATGGTGGCACTACTCCGGAGGCGTGGAGCAGAAGTGCGGTGGTCTTGTTCTTTAAGAAAGGCGACAACGCTCTCTTGAAGAACTACAGACCGATTTTCCTTCTGAGCCGCGTCTACGTGCTGTTTTCGAGATTCATTACGAATCGTCTCGCACGCAGACTCGACGACTTCCAGCCTCCCGAACAAGCCGGTTTCCGAAAAGGCTTCAGTACCATAGACCCATACATACCCTGCGGCAGATTGTACAGAAGACCGAGGAGTACAATCTGTCACTTTGCCTGGCGTATGTGGACTATGAGAAAGCCTTTGATTCCGTCGAAATTTGGGCGGTGCTACAGTCCCTTCAGCGCTGCCAAGTTGACTGTCGGTATATCGAAGTGCTGAAGTGTTTGTACAGTAAGGCTACGATGGATATCCGAGTACAGAACCAGAGTTCGAAACCTATCCAACTGCAGAGAGGTGTAAGACAGGGTGGCGTTATATCCCCGAAACTCTTCACCACTGCGTTGGAAGACGTTTTCAAGCTACTGGACTGGAAAGGATACGGTATTAACATCAATGGCGAGTACATCACTCACCTTCGATTTGCCGATGATATAGTCCTTATGGCAGAATCGCTGGAGGACCTTAGCACTATGCTCAATGACCTCAATGGTGTCTCCCAACGGATAGGTCTTAAGATGAACATGGACAAAACAAAGATTATGTTCAATGTCCATGTCACACCTATGTCGGTAGTTGTGGGGAGCACTATGCTCGAAGTTGTTGACGAGTACGTTTACCTGGGACAAATAGTCCGACTAGGTAAGTCCAAATTCGACCGAGAGGTCAATCGACGGATTCAACTCGGCTGAGCAGCGTTCGGGAAATTACGACACATCTTCTCGTCAGGTATACCTCAATCTCTGAAAACTAAAGTGTACAACCAGTGCGTGTTGCCAGTGATGACTTACGGATCAGAGACGTGGTCCTTCACTGCTGGCCGTATGAGGACGCTCAAGGTCGCTCAGCGAGCTATGGAGAGGGCTATGCTCGGAGTTTCTCTGCGTGATAGACTCAGAAATGAGGATATCCGCAGTAAAACCAGAGTGACCGACATAGCCCAACGGATTAGTAAGCTGAAGTGGCAATGGGCCGGCCATATATCTCGAAGAACCGATAACCGATGGGGAAGAAAGGTTCTCGAGTGGCAGCCTCGTACCGGTAGGCGTAGTGTAGGGCGACCCCCCACTAGATGGAGTGACGACCTGTTAAGACATGCAGGAAGTCGATGGATGCAGGTGGCTCAGGACCGTGCTTTGTGGCGTTACTTTGGGGACGCCTATGTTCAGCAGTGGACTTGTGAAGGGTTGTAATGATGATGATGATGATGATGTTAGTGATATTTAATGATATAGTCAAAGTCGATAACCTAGTGTACCCTGTACATGTAGAGAATTTGATATAGATTGAAAGAACTATTGTTATGAAAGCTTACATGAAAGCAAACCAGATTACGTACTTGATGAATGTTCCACTTACAGATAGTTTTAATTACAATTATTACAAATTATACCCATTACCTGTATTCGATGCACTTATAAACAGAATGCCTGTAATAATTCCCAAGTATCCTTACATTTTCGTGAAAGGTTCAAAATACCGGGTGGCC